CCGGTGTGGACTGTTCCTGCTGCCGCTGATTATGATGACGACGACGACGCGGACGTGTTGCACGATTCGTCTCAGCCTCGGCAGCTTCAAATGAATATCATCTGAACCATCCTGAATGTGACATCCGCGGGTTTGGATGTATCCGACAGTGCACAGCAGCGGAGTTTCACCCCAATGGCCAAAATACGCGCCACCGCATGGAGTCGTGTAATTTTTTTTGCCGGTTTCATGCCGATATAATTAACGCCGTGTCGTTTGAACGAACTCTGCATCATGATTACAAGTTTTGGCAACGTTTCCGGCAATTGCCCGAACAGGCGTTGCTCGCATTCCGCTGGGAAGGGTCGGAGGAGGAAGATGACCTGGCCTGGCCCCCCGTGAACCTCAGGCTCGCTACCTGTCCACATCACGCAACATCGTCCCCCCGTATGGCCTGTATCAATCTGTTGGGGCAAGTGCTGTTCGCGGGTAGCACCTATGAAGGCCAGCACCACGCTCGGCCGCCTTTGTCTCCCCCCCGTGGTCGATGTTTCCCACACCTCCGATTAGCACGGTTGGCTACATACGGTGCGAAAGAAGTTCAACATACACACGTTTGTACACCGCACCAATGTACGAATTTGAGACTGAGTCGACCTAGGGGAGGCCCCGGGACCGGTGCAGATCATCATCACCGGTGTTGGTGGCCGTGAGCGGGAATCGAACTCGGGTCGCCGGGTTCGTAGCGCAGCGTAGCGCTAACCGCTGCACCACCGCTCCACACCACAGCGAACAACACCATCACACACACACCAGCCTTGCACCATTCTACGTGTTCCTGTTTTCCTTTTTTCTTCTCATTGTTTGTTGTAGGGCTTTATCCCACCCCCCAAACCAAATGTCATCTCGGTTGTACAATCGGCATCATGTCACGAGACGACTGAAATCCCCTCCGAAGTCTCGCAGATAAGTGCACGACCCACCTGTGTCGCAGAACGGTTCGCACCGGAGCAGATATTATTAGAAAATGTTTCACTGGAGCAATACCCAGATGTACGGCTCCTCCTTTTCTTACCTCGTTTCGCAAGCACCTCGTCGTCGTCGTCGTAGCGCTATCAACACCGCACTCAACGTCGCTGACAGCATCGTCCGTTCTTCCTCGTTATCCGTCGCCGACTCAGCCTTCGCTTCCACCTAGGCCTTGGCAAGGTAAGGTAATTGACCATTTTTACCGGGTAAAAGGGTGAAGGTGTCGACATGCCAAGGGGTAAGGTATAGGGTAGGGTAAAGGTAGCGCGAAGTATTACCCGGTAAATACCTTGTTTACCTACTACCTTGATTACCGCTCGCGAAAAGCTCCGTGGCGCAGTCCGTGGCTTCCATTTAAAATTGTAATCATCGAGAGTATTCTCTATGAATAAAGCACTCTGTCTAGCATTTACCTGTTACTAGCCTTGTTCATGTGTAGTAGTACCCCAGTAATCACGCTGTAATCGGGTCATTTGTATGGGGTAAGGGTAAAAGGTAGGGTCAAGGTAGGCTCGTTGCTTTTGACTTTTTACCTTTAACCTTACCTTGCTAATGGGAAAAGGTAAGGGTAGAATATCGATTTAAAGCTTTTGTGACTGCAGGGATTCATCTTCTTGGTTCTTTCGGTAAAGTCACGTAGAAGGGAAGTAATATTATTTTATTACTTCCCTTCTACGTGACTTTACCGAAAGAACCAAGAAGAAGGTAAGGGTAGAATGATTGTATTGTGGTAAGGTAAAAGGTAGGGTAAAGGTAGGCTCGTTGTTTTTACCTTACCATGCCGAGGCCTACTTACACCACCTGCCCTGCGGATTGCTTCGACTCACGGGGCAGTGAGATTTACGTTCCGCCATTGGGTGACCAGCTTGACGGCATCGACTCGTCACACTTAAAAAAAATCACATTTTATTACAGGCGGCTGCCTGGGTATGAACTCGACCAGTGGCCCACTTAGCATACCGATCTCACGTCTCCATCCAGTGAAATCACTGAATGTAAATGGAGGGGGGGGGGGTGTGTTGATTCCCACTGCTGCATTGCCACCTCCTGGGCAACCAGTCAGCTTCCGTGCTCGTGTCGAACCTCCGAGACGCACCAACTCGCGGTGGCTATGAGATGTTAACCACCTCGCCTGGTATACAGGAGGTCGCGGGTTCGATCCCGACCCTGACGCCTGCTGCTGGATATTTTAAGTTTGCGTGTCTCTCTCTCTCACACCGTGGTCCCGTGTATTGTTGTCCATATGCTCTGGTTTTTCCCCTCCACATTTAATGAGCACGTGTTTAGGGAATTTGACCGCTATGGAGTTGCACGTGATAAGCCACTTCGTTGAGCTATCATTTGTGGCTTCTGAAAAAGAGCTAAAAAGCTCAGCGGGCCTGACCTTGTAAAATAACAAATAGTTTACTTCATAGGTTTAACTCTCGGTTCTTATAGTTAAGAGCCCTGACAGTCTGACTGTGGAATGTGGTTGGGGAAGTGGGAGCAGGTTTAGTTAGTGGTAGTAGCCTATCAGTGCCTGTTTAAATAGTGGCATACCTTGCCGCAACATTGTATGACGCGTAAGGGAATGCTGTTTGGGATTAAACACGCAATGACTTTGATGACAATTGCATCCGTGTGATGTCGCGTTCTTGTAACCCATGTTGTGTCCAATGTACTCCAGTAGGTCTCATCTGTTTGTTGGTTTAATGGCCCCCCCGAATCAAAGAGGATGGGGCCTTGTGCCTGCATCCCCCCACCTAAAAATATAATCTTTTGCCATACATGTGTAATAACAGCCATAGAGGGTTCACGTGGGGATTGGCTTGCCGGTCCTGCTTTGTAGCCAATAAGGGATGAGCCAGGGAGCATGGCCTCGGCGTGATCACGGAATGTTAGCAGGGGTGATTGGCCTGGCCAATCGGGGGCCTCAGCTAATGGGGAGCCGGATCAGAGGCGTGGTCCCGGGATTGACAGGGAACCATCGGGAATGGTCAACGCTGTCTATGGAGGATTGGCTGGGGGGTACCACGTGATGAAGGGATTAAGAGAGAGGGAGAGGGCAGTCGAGAGCAGACTTGGGAACGAGAAGAGCAGGGGTCACGCGCGCACGGGGGCTCTGGGTGCCACGTGCGCGGTGGGGACTTGGCGGGGAGTCTGCCCTCTCTCCGTTGTCTGTCAGCAACGGGGAGTGTGTGAGTAAAGTGTAACTGTGGAAGTTGAAAATAAAAAGGACTGATTCCGGAAGCCGTCTCAAGGTTTATTACACATGATTTGCTCAAGTAGATCAGTCAAACTGCAGCAGGCATTCTCTCCAGTATTTTTTCCATCTTCCTTCGGCTGCCACTCCCGGCGTTATTCTGGACCACTGGCGATCGTACCTTGGAACGACGCCTCCTGCCCAAGGCGGTTCATTTGAGGCCTTAGTCCAGCAGTGGATCGAACCACGGCTGATGATTAATTTGAGTATCCAATTACTGTGGCTAAGATGGATTATTTTTTAATGATCCGAGATTGTCTTTAATGATCCACCTTAAGAGTGTTCCAGATGGTCCGCAGAAGCGCGCCCGAAAGCGTGCGATGCAGTGATCGTCTTCGTTCGATGGTTCGCCAAAAGCCGCTGTGACGATGACCGGAGGAGCGGTGATGCAGTGGTTTACCTGAGAGCTCAGTGATGTCCCTATGGTTTCCGAGCCTGGACTCTGAAGATTTCGAGCAGTGAGCATGGGGAAGGCCAGGTGGCATGGAGCCAGCCCATTGTGGCATGGTCAGCCAAGCAGCATTTTCCATTGAAACCTATGGCTTGCGTACAGAATTTTCAATAACACAATTTGTCTCAGTATTCAGCATGTTAATTCAAACTCCCATCACGTCCCCCCACCCCTCTCTCCATGCAGTTCCGCAGGAGCATGACAAAACATTAACACACGTCGGAGACTTTGCCGTGTGTATGCTTGTGTGTGTCAGCTCAGTCAGTCGACCCGTGGCACCTGGGTCTGCCCCGTTACCTCCTGCCAGCGGGCGTTCGACACTTCACGTGGCCTCAAGGTGCACCTGGCACAGGCGTCATAGGTGACGTCACCGCCACTTAGTGGCGAATGGCGAATGTTGTTTTTTGCAGAGATAAAGGAATTCGCGTGCTCCTGGACTGCAAACCGAAGGCCGGTGGACAAGCGTTGCAGATCGAACCAAACCCTGAATGTTCACAACAATGGGGACCTTTGCTGTGAACATAATAAAGAACCAAAGAGTATATACAAGGACTTGTTTGAGCAGTCTGTTTCTCTATCCCACCTGAGGACGCTCGCTTGTGTGGCGATTGAAACGTCATTATCTATTATTTTTCCACGTGACTTTACCGAAAGAACCAAAAAGTATACATAGTTAAAGTTTAACACGTAGGCTTTCGCGACCAATATCATCCACCTCTTGCCTTTCTACAGGCCTCTGCATTACTACCGGTGTCGCACCTTGTCCCTGTGGCTTGCCTAGGTTATGTTGCAGTGCCAATCGTAATGATGCCCAGGGCAGCCATCCGGGGGGACCCCATCTCCACTGCTACCGGGACACATGAAAGCAGTTCACCAGAGTTTAACGGAACGACGTCGCAAGTTTGGCGGTCACTGGGGACGGACAGTGGCGATTTGGTGGAGTGCTTACACGGTGGATAGGGTCAGCCGCTTCATTTTGTCGTGCTGCCGGACTATGGGCGATGGGGAAAAAAGCTTCATAGCTCATCGGATTCCTCCAGTATAAATACTCTGATTGTGGCTGCTGAGCCCCTGGTTGTTCGTACGCCGGTCGTCGTTCATCCATGCGTCGTCGGCGATGTCATTCAAGTGTTTTTTCCCTTCCGAAGAAAAATACTTTCCCCCTTTTTTTGTCCTTGTGATATCGTGGTATTGTTATTGTTGTGTTTTTAGGACAATTGTCGTGAGATGTCGTGGCATTTATCTCCAATTCCTTTAACCCAAAAACACACACACACGCTTCAAGGACAAACGAGAAACTGATCACAACACAGTTTATGAATCGCCTACAAACGGAATGTAGACATTACATAGTGGTTGAGTAGTCAATAAAATTGTTAACGGTTCAGAGCTGATGTCTTCAACCACGTATACTACACTACAGCGGTGTGCAGTATAAACAGTGATAGGTGCATTGATACATCAGTGCTCTACAAGAATATAAAATTGCAATAAAAAAACGTGTGGCCAGTTATCAAGCATTATTCAGATAAAAATGGTAAAGGTGCAGCCCTGAAATTACTTGCTTACGCCACTGCTGGCAGAAGGGCATCGACTGGAGGGAGCCACTTCGAGGTGGTAATTTCACCTCCTCTTCCACGCTGGTCAAACATTTTGGAAGAGGTGGGAAGCACACCAACCTTTGCCCTGCCACACGTTACCTGCCAATCAGCTAACTGTGATCTAGATTTGAAATTTTCGTGACTGCAGGGATTCATACACTCTTTGGTTCTTTCGGTAAAGTCACGTAGGTATAAAATAAAATAAATCACGACAAGCGTCCATCATCAGGTGGGACAACCACAGTAATTGTTTCTTGCTGTGGTTGTCCCACCTCATGACGGACGCTTGTGATGCGCCCGAAACGTCATGATTTAATTTATTTTATTTTATACCTATGTGACTTTACTGAAAGAACCAAAGAGGACAGCTAACTGTGGTATCCCGCTGGGTGGACAGAAGCCGGGGAGGGAAGGGATTTAGGAAACGTGTTTAAGAAAATACTTTCAACTGCTAAGCCGAAAGATCGAATCAAGGTGTCGGATCTCTATATTGCAAGTCCAGTGTGCTAATCATTACAACAGAAACATCTTATTAATTGTTTACGGCCGCACACACTGCCACCCCAGATCTGAAAGCATACACGAAACCTCGCATCTCCCATTAGCACGGTTAGCTAAGTACGGTGCGAAAGAAGTCAACATACACACGCACACAATCTGATATATCGACCAAAAATTCACCGAGTATTTCAGGAGTGCCCCGTTTGAACGTTTGTCCAATTCATTATTTAATTGTGTGTTTTGAAGCAAACCATAGTCACCGAAAAAGTGTACATATAGGAGGAAATGACAATCATCAATTTATTCAGAGGTTCATAACCTTCTGGTTCTACTGCCATCTACAGGCCACCTCATTCAAGGCAGTGGGTGTCCTAAGCACTCCGTGATCTCTGAGACCTACAAACCCTGAGACCAAACCTGAATTAAAAGGTGAACTCCAACCACACTTGGCACAAAAGTCAATTCAACTGTACACACGAAGCTCACTCAACACATTAATTAAACCCAACAAATAATTTACAACTCAACGGTGGCCTCGAAAAAGTGCCGAGTGCGTTAATGGATGCGAACACATGGCACTCTGTCAAGCGCTGCATTTGACAACACCATTTAGCAGACCCATTGCCAGCGGTGGCAAAAGCTTGCACATGGAATGTGCAAATCAGGCCACTAAAGGGTTTTTGCCTTTCTCCGCTGAGTGGCCCACAGAAAAGCTGAGAGCAAAAAGGTCACTGCTGTAAGCAGGCCGAAGAACAGCGCCATCGGGAAGAATCCCTGCGGAAGACACAGAGAAGGAGGCAAATGTTAAAGGGTAAGGCAAGCTATTATAAAGTTACAAAAGCAGACACTTTGGTCAAACAACAACCGTAAAAGTAAACAAAAAACACTTCAGTTTACAGTGTTTTCATCCCATTTATTTTGATGCCGAATTGCTTCCCTCACTTGTTATTTTTTTTACAAAGTTATACTTTTGTTTTTCAAAGAAGAGTATTGTCAAGGGGCAAATATACAATAATAATCCCAATAAGAACAATGTTTAGTGCGAGACAGTCATTCATGCAAATTTCATCTCACAACCGCTGACGGAAAATGCGCCGGGCGGGTTGTTCCTCGAGCCAGAGCACTCACGCCACGTCAGGAAACCCGATCACAGGGCTCCCTCTGCAGCCTAACGTCACGTGACGACTTCTTGGTGCTATCTGAAGGGCGGTTTTCCCACACGTCAGAAATTTGATACTTTTATAAAGTTGATTCTTCAATGTCGGAATAGATGAAAATAGGTAAAAAAAAAACTAAAATTTGTTTTGTACGGTCAATGGTGATTTGGTTGAAACCATCACTCTTTAACTTATGAACATGGTTCGATCATGTATAGCCGTGACAGGAATTCAAACTTAAAACATCAAGGCTCGCTCAGTGGCACACCGCAGGTTATACGCCTCCTCCGAAATATGGCCCCACCTTGTACACAAATCAAATTATGCCTCATTTGATGAAGCAGAATTACCTCTCTAACGCACTTGTATCCATGATGGGTGTCCTTGCAGTCACACTTAAAGAGGCCTGGACCATCTGGGTGACAAACAGCCTCCTTTGGGCAGTGGTTACTCGATTCTGCAAGTGATTGAACACAGAGCCACACAGTGTAATCATGAAGGCTTTAGCTCATCTTGCAGTATTACAATAATTCCAAACTAGTAGCGAAAATAAAGGAAACAACCTTTCAAAAACACCACGGAGAAGCGGACAATACATTTCCTTCATATATCTGTCCCCCATATGAAGCAAAAATACACACAAGCACAATCGGTATGTGTCCCTGAAAAAAGCGAGACATCAGACGATACAATGTAAATCTAAACCCATTGACTTAACATATCTCAATTTAGGATTCGTTCCCAGGGGGTCATTTATTTTGGTCAGACAATAAGTAACAATAACATTGGCGATGCGTTCCAAGAAAAGGGGCGCGCAAAGCGGAATCGCACGAGATAGCGGCCTGCCGAGTAGCGCACACGGTAACACACACAGTGTTGTCTCGTGTACCACCGCGTAGCCGCGTATGGGTGAATTCAAACAGAATATAGCGAATTTTGGATAGAAATAGGTTAGCCGCGCGTACACATTTCACAAACCAAACCCACAGAAAGCGATAATGAAAGATACCTAAAAAGGTGTTATATAACACGTTTAAATAAATGACATGTCCATACACCGTAGCCACCACAGATGGAGGTAGAAATTGCATTTAGAGGCCTGGTATGGGATGAAGGCAAGTTGAGGAGTTACATCATGAGGCTTGAGCACCCAAACTACTGAGTTATTTTGTTAAAATCTTTTAAAACAACGTTGGAGTGAATCAATGCATTTTTTATATAATTACGTTCCCCAATTCATTGGCGGCGTTATAGTGAAACAATGTGAATAGGAGCAGCATAAATAGTGGACTTACTGTAATGTTTTTTTACACATCCTGCCAACCACAAGGCCTTCTTCTGGAAGTTCATAAATTAATTGCTTCAAAAACACATTACTAAGGTGAGGTCAGAATGACATCATGGAGAGTCGTAATGAAAATATGTACCATGCAAGAGGGGTAATGTCTCATCTAACAAAGCTGTCAACAATTTTCCCAGCCCCAATATCGGGGAGTTTAAGAAATGCTCTTTTAGAATGTCTTTGGTCAGGAGAATGCCGCACCACGTCAGTAAATGCACCAGAAAATGACAGCCACAGACCTCAGACTGCAATTACTACAATAGGCCTATCTAAAACTGATCTTTTTATTTAAACTAAAACTAAACTATTTCTCTTTTACCAAGCTGGCTATCACAAATGATAGCTCAATGAAGTGGCTTATCAAGTTGAAATCGATAGCAGTCAAATGTTCTAAACACACGTCGATTAAAGTAGAGGGAAACCCCGGAGAAAATATACACGACCAAGGGGAGAACATGCAAACTCAAAAAAAAATACAGGTGTCAGGGTCGGGACCGAACCCACAACCTCCTGTATATTAGGCGAGGTAGTTAACATCTTGCCACCGTGGTGTCCCTATCTTGCCCTACACAGAACACCGTGTAGTGCACTGTGTGTGTGGTGCTCTGTGTATCTCACTGCATGTCAAATCACCCAACAGGCAGTACTTAAACACATTCCCTCAAAGCCAGGATACACCAAATTAGGTACATTTTTACATTCATGAAATGAACCTTATGGCGGGACCCCAGGGTCCCGAATAAACGGAAGTCAAGATCACAATGAATTTATTTATTTTTGGCAACTCCATCCCACCGCGCACATAAAAGCCACGACCTACCAGAAATCAATCCTCTCGTTCTTCACCAAGCACCCGTCGTTGCCAAAATTGCCGTAGCCATAAACTAAATTTTGAAACTTTGATTAGCACATTGTGTAGAGCTCGTCGAGAGGAATAGATTTCCGCGTCATTTGCCTTCAACAGACATAAAATGACGTCGCAACGCAGTTTATGCGAGAGCCGGGGGCTTTTATGGGACCCCGGGGTCCCGCCATAAGGTTCAAATATTAATTGAAATTATTGTTGACTGGATTATGACAAATTACTTACTAATTTTGACAAGCTGCCAAAATTCACTTTGCTACCCACAAATGTCTGCCAACAGGTAAACCGTTCATCAATCTCAATTATTATCATCCATCTCCATACACATTTTAAAATAGACTCGAGATATTTCTCAGCCAATTTTTGTTTGCCCTCGCATGCTATGAGACGGGCCATTTCCCAAAACATTAACCTAATGTGTGTGCGTTTCTATTGTCCAGGTGGCAGTCACGAGGCTTGTACGACATTCGGTTGAACACCTTCCAACACAGTCCCGTAAGGTGTACATGTATTCTTAAACTTTGGGCTCATGATTTAAGTCATACAAATGTGTCTTGAGACAAGATCGATCACAAGCATCTATGTAATCTGTATGTTTGTATGTATGCATCTTTATCTGGGAAACTCTTCCAAGACGGCTCTACCAATCTCAGTTCAATGAGGTGTCATTTGAAAGATAATGGAAAGCAGCTTATATGAATCACGTTGCAATTGAGAAATATTGACCTTTGACCCAAAAATGCAGCTTATTAATCCTGAAAATGCTTCCACTCTACCAATTACAATGAGCCTGCATGTGACAAAAGCTTTACAAACAAAAATACATACTTGCTAAGAAAACTGCCTTACAAGGAAAAGGAAAAAAAAAATCGGCGTTGCGTTTACATTTCTTTACAATTGAACCTCATGGCGGTATAAATCTTGACTTAAAGCTTTCATGACTGCAGGAATTCATATTCTTTGGGTCTTTCGGTAAAGTCACGTAGGTATATAGGTTCAAAGAAAATAACAAAAAAACTACGACGTTTCGATCGCAACACAAGCGGTCGTCTTCAGGAAAAGAGGGGTTCGCTTCCAAGACAAACTGTTTACAAGGGTTTGAAATGGGCGTAGCCCAAATGTCAGCAGCCAATGGCAATGCAAGTGGTGGGCAACCAACCCGACGGTGGTTGGTTTTCCACCAATCAAAGAGAGATTAGCATGTCCCATTAACATCCTAATTTTCACGTGGTAGCCCTTTACCAAAAAACCCAAAGAATACTTATGGCGGTACCCCGAGGTTCCACAGTACCCCGGGGTACCGCCATAATGTCCGTGATGCAATCATTATTAGTCTGTTGATGGTCAGCGATGCGGCCATCGACTCATCTCGACGAGCTGGACACGATGCACCACTATGGTGCGTACGAGCGTTCAGGGTTTCAGCGCCATCGTCCTCGCTGCGTTTCGACATCGCGAAGTAGCACTGATTTCAGATTGATTGGTGCCCCAGTCGTGGAGTTAAGTACACCCTTGGAAAAAATTGTGTGCCAGAAATAAAATATTTATTGACCTCGGCCATTTAGTATTACTTGTTACTCTGGGGTACCGCCATAAGGATCAATTGCTAAGTGCACACCATCGGGGAAGCTGGTTGAATCTCAATAGGAACCCCACTACATTGTGTTCGCTGACGGTCAGGTGAGTTGATGATGAGGGTCAGGTGTTCATGTGTCACACCGCCCTGCCCAGACGACAGGCTGACCCCTACTCTTGGTATAAATAATTATTTCAACTTGTAACGGGCTGCCGCACAGCATTTGCCGCACAGCAAGAGAGCGGCTCGGAGGAGCGATGAACCACAGACAAGCAGGGAGACAGCCACGTGGTGAGACAACCCCCAAATCACCCCCAAAGCTCTGTGGCTCTCTATAAAGGCATTTTGAGCCACTTAACGACATCCAATTGTTTATGTACGTTGAATCGACAACGAACGTAGAACGTTAACGAGACACACACACACGTACTTGCGTGCATCATTTTTTTTTTAAACCCATGCATGCATTGCAATCGCTTTTTAGAATCAGTGTTGGTGTAACATAGAGGTCTTCACGTGTCACAAGAGATTCTCAAACCCACCGGGGCTACAAGGGAGCAGGAGACTGGTACAGCAAGAGGCTTTGTGAACCCATCCAGTGTGGACGTGTGAGTGTTATATTCTCACGCGAGTGAGGTTTCACCTATTTTGTTTTTAAGGAATTGGTAAAACATTTGAATGCAGGTCCCTCGGCAATAAAATGGTTTGAGAATTTGCTGTATAAAAAAAAACACGATTTGTAATAAACATACTATAAATTGTGAAGAGAGAGCTGATCACACTAAGACCTTTGCCAGGGGTACAATGTGATTAAAACAGACACCACATGCAGCTCTCGACCGACAAGTCCCAACCCCACCCACGTCGCTCATACCGTTGCATGCATTCTGCTGATCTTGGCAAATCCTGCTGTGGTTGACATATATCCTCTTCCAAGCCTTGTTCCCTCCAGGGCATTCGACGAGATGAGGCAGCTCGCTGAACAAAAGCCACCACGTATCAACACCATACCCTTTCAATCTGCTTCATATTCGATATACAGTTTGCATGCAAGTGGGTGTGTGTGTCTATGTGGGTGGTTGGTGTCATGGTTATGTGCAATGCACTATCGAATCTGGCAAGCCAGACTCATTTCAAAATGCCAGACACATAGGGGGACTGAGAGAGACAGGACAGACAGAGGGAGACAGATTGTCAGATGGATACACAGAAAAACAGTGGGAGATTAGAGAAACGTGCCAGTTTGTTGAAATGAATATATTTCCAAGGACTGTCTGCCTTCAAATTCCACATGGCTGAATATATAAGTAAGATATGTGGGTTTGGGATACATTCCTGCAGACGTGGCAAGATCGGATATCGCTGCAATCCTCAAAAACGCTAAGACACCTATTAGCAACATCAGTAAGGATGAGCGCTTTGAGGTTAATCAACTAAAAAAAAGAGATGACATAGTCATCCTCTCAGCGGACAAGGGCAATGCCACCGTCATCATGGACAAAACCCATAGAGTAACAAAATTCAGGACCTACTTAATGATGGTAGCTATACCAAAATCAATAGAGATCCCACCAACCGCCTGGTTACGAAAACTAACATCATCACTGATTCGACATTTTTAATCGAACCAACCAAGCGGCTTTCTTTAAAACCCTCTGCTGCTAGACCACCCAGATTGTATGGCTTACCAAAAATCAATAAAGAAGGTACATCACTTCATCCTATTGTCTCCACCATTGACTCACCCACCTACAAACTGACCCGATTTCTGTCTGAAACCTTACAACCATTCACTGGTAAGACCACCTCAGCTGTACTTAACTCAGCTCACTTGGTATCTCTAATTAAGGGCCTCTCACTATCTCCAGGTGATTTGCTCGTCAGTTTCGATGTAGCTTCTTTGTTTACCAAAGTTACTGTGCCTGACACCTTCGCAATCATTGAAGATCTGGTCCAACAAGGACTGAATGCTGATGTACCAGCCCTGGTTAGACACTGCCTAATCAACACTCACTTCACCTGGAATGGAACATTCTACAAACAAGTTGAAGGTACCCCAATGGGTTCGCCTTTATCTCCAGTTGTAGCCAATGTTTTCATGGAAAATCTTGAGAAAGATGCCATCCAGGCATCCACCCTACGTCCTTCCTTGTGGAAGAGGTACATAGATGACACGTTCGTCATCTGGCCACATGGCCTACCAAGCTCTGGGCCAATTATTCAACCACATCAATTCCATACACCCAGCCATCAAATTCACCATGGAGGTGGAAAAGGATGGCAAGTTACCATTCTTGGATGTGTTAATCGAAAAGAGACCAGATGGCTCAATGGGACACTCTGTCTACAGGAAAGACAGAGTATTCCATTCGGATGCCGACCTAAAACCTGACTACCACCACCATCCATCCTAGAAGAATTCCCTCATCAAAACTGTACACCATAGAGCTCGATGTATGTCCGACCATCACCACCTAGCCAGTGAGTTGGAACACGTACACCAAGCCCTCAAGACGAATGGATATTCAGACTACACAATCCATAAGGCTATCACCCCAAACGTTGGGAAATAACCATTTGAGGACCCAATCAAAACCATCACCTTGCCATACATAGCAGGGGTCACTAAAAAGATTTCCAAAATCATGAGCAAACACAAGATCCAGGTTCGGTTCAACACAGTACAAAAAATTGTGATCTGATCCCATCTGTGAAGGATGTGATCCCTGACACGCAATACCCCGGCGTCTACAAGCTAAGCTGTGTCTGCGGCAGCAGTTACATTGGGGAAACTAAGCGACATGTCTCGGAACGTTTTCGTGAACACAAGGCAGATCTGAAACACGGTAGGACCAATACCTCAGCCGTGGCTGATCAATGTTTTAACGCTGTGGGCACACGCAAAATTTATTTTTCCAAGACTAAGGTACTCTGCAAACCCACTGACTATCAGCAAAGATTCGTTCATGAAGCCATCCAGATATTTAAACAGAGACACAATTTAAACCGAGAAGATGGGTACAAACTGAGCAATCATTGGAAGGATGTTATTAACCAGTTTAAAATCACAACTGGCTGTGATGTTTCTATCCTACCTGCCGATGTTAGTAGTTATTTTCGACTCTCTGGTGTTACATTAACAGGTTAAATGTCTCGCTAACACAGCCACCGTTGCTCGTTTTCCTCGATGTGGCAGTGGCTCTACGATCTTCCACTGACATGCTAATCTCTCACAATACAATGGCCACCTCCGCAGCTTAGTCGTCGTCGAGGTGGCTCTCCGATTTACCCGATCTTACATTGACATGCAAATTTTATCACTAGCCCCGCCCACTCCCCTTATCACATTTGGGCTACACCCATCTCAAACCTTTATAACATCCTGCCTCAGAAGCTCTCCCGCTATTTTTTCACCTGATGACGATTGCTTGTTTTGCGATCGAAACGTCGCGATATTTTTATTATTTTTTCTATCTACGTGGCTTTACCGAAAGACCCAAGGAATAAGATAGGTGCGATTCAGAGAAATGGTAAAAAGTACTGTTAACCTTTGGGGTAATGACTCCCTTTATTGGAAACATTGGAAAATTATATATTACTACTATAATAAGCCAAGAATGTGCGTGTTCCGCACGTGACGTCACTCCACATGAGGCCCACCCCCCCGCGTGATGTCACTACATGAGACCCACCTCCCCCTCATTAATATTCATGAGTGGGTGAACTTTTACACTAACGCAGAGGAAGGATGAGCTGACTTTAATAATTTATTACGGAAAGTCGCTTCAAATTACGTTTCTTTACAGAAAGTGACGGTAAAAAATAAATATACGCAGCACACTGCTACATCCATACGTGACGTCACTGCAAAACAGCCCCCCCCCCCCCCCTCCCGTCATTAATTCATGAGCGGGTGGATTTTTACACTCCCACAGAAGAAGGTCGAGCGGAAATAAATATTTGTACGCAAATTCGCTTTAAATTTGACGTTTCTTTATTGAAAAAGTTAATCAAATAAATCATTATTCGCAGCACCAATGTGTTTTTGGTGTCTTTATTGATTTTTTCAGCACTTGAAGCAAAAGGTAAGTCTAATTTTTGCTTCTAAATTATGATAACATTTCTACATTTCAGATATTGTATCGAATTCAAATTGATTACAACCCCAGCGAGCGAAAGTAGAAGAAAATAAAGTAGCAGAGCACTGGTTTTGAACTAATTGAAGGGGAGTTAAATAGTGCTACAGTGACATCAAGTGAGGTGTTTTATGACATAGTTTTGTGCAACAATCACTGCCATTAATACAGTACAACAGAGAAATGCAGTTAAGTGTTTGATTACATCGTTTTGTGCAAGATTCACTGCCATTAAATTTACACAAGATACAATAATACTCTGATCAAAACGACAAATTCCGATAATTCCTGCATATGCGATGACGATCAACAAGTCCCAGGGTCATACTTTTCAAAATGTAGGTATTTATCTCAATGAACTCATATTTTCCCACGGCCAGTTGTGCGTGGCTCTGTCTAGATCTATAAATCCTCAGCGGATCAAAGTGTTTATCAAGAGTAGTCAACTGCAGGGAAACCTGATAATTACTTTTTGGTTCTTTCGGTAAAGTCACGTATAAAGATAAAATAATAAATTAAATAATAGCATACAATTATTTAAATAATAGCATACCATTATTTAATTTATTATTTTATCTTTATACGTGACTTTACCGAAAGAACCAAAGAGTAATTCCTGCAGTCACGAAAGCTACAAATTAAGATTAAACCTGATAATTGTTTTTTTACCCTTCTATCTGGCAACAAAACTGACACCTTTCTTTTTACAAGGAGTCATGTTTGCATTGACCACAATACCTGCGGTCGGAATGCAAAAAAAAACTCTGATAATGGTTGCACTGTCCTTTAAATTGATTGGTCCACACCCAAGACAGCTTTTCTTAGAGCCTAGTCTCACATGGTGTTGGACCAGGTGACGCCAGATTCACACAAAATATCGTATATTGAGAAACCTTCCAAAGTCCTTAATTTCATTTTTTAAGTTAAGAAAATTTTATTTACGTGCAACAATTCCTAAAAATATGTACAATCACACAAAAAAATATAAATGTACATCTTTAATATTACAGATTCCGTCCTAGGACGGGCATAAGGCTAGTTTTTAAATAACAACGCTGATCTAAAGAAGGGCTGTTGTCAATATATCATCTTTATGTAAAATATGTTAGGGAGAGATGACCTAGCAGAGGTCCAGGAAAAGTTAATGCCCAGAAACCAAACCTCTTTCTCTATGTCCCTCTGTCGCACTCTTGTCCATCTCTCTCGGTCCCCCCCCCCCCGTCTCCCTCTCTTTGTGTCCTGCAGTTCCCCTGTATGTCCCGCTGCTTAGGTCTGTCTTCCTGTCTTTCTCTCGTACGTCTCTCTCGGTCTCGTCTCTCTCCTTCACCGTGTACCCATGACGAGAGTTGTCGTCGCAGCTCCCGTTCCCGATTCTCCACTCTTATTTCAGACTAAACTCATATTCAGATTTGCATATTTACATGCTTCAATCAGCTGAATAGGAATACTAAAACAAATCAGCCAATCTTCTTGGTTCTTTCGGTAAAGTCACGTATAATGGAAATAATAAAAGAATAAAGCTAAAACATGTGAGAAATATTTTATTATGTTTTATTTTCATTATTTTATTATTTCCATTATACGTGACTTTACCAAAAGAACCAAGAAGATGAATCCCTGCAGTCACGAAAGCTTTAAATCGAAATCAGCCAATATTTGTAGACGGCGAAGTTAATATTAAGTGTATTATTAAATGTAGGAAGTGTTGGTGAAGTGTTATTCGTCTGTGCCGCTACTTAAAAGTGTAATTAAAATACTGCGAAAAAAATTCCACAGCCAACTTACATGTACGCCAGGCTTGTAAATCCAAGGAAGGTTGCGCTTGATATGTTGGCGAGTGGATTGTCCGAGAGGTCCCTAGAGTTGAAAACAGAAGAAAACAATGCACAATATTTACAAACATTTCACAATATTATTTTTAAAAAAGCCAAAATAACTACGAGCTTTGTGGCCTAACTGCATGGCACACCGATGAAAAGAAACCCACTGGCTACAGTCCACCAACCCAATATCCACCCTCCCATCACTGGCAACGCACGAGGCAGAACTCAAGGGTATGATCATTACATGAAGGCCTCCACACTGGAGATTGTCTTTCCACACTTCTCTATGATGGTCAGTGCCGGTTTGTTGAAGGAGGCACACAGGACCAGATCTAGGTAATATTCGTCAATGCTCGGTCAGGAATCAAACTCAGGTTGCCTGGTTCATGGCGCAATGCGGCTAACCACTGCTGCCACCCTTAATCAGGCACATAACAATTCACCTACCACCCCCAAACCCCCAATAATTTGATGAATTGTCACCGTTATGTTTTGGTCTTGTGTTTATAATACTTGCTATTTACATCTCGATTGTACAATTTTCTTTGGTAAATACCCTAAATGTAACATTATTATATAATTTACACAGACCTTAATGGATTTTAAATGCACACCCCAAAATATTCATTGATAGAATAAAAATCACTTTAAATCGATGCACTGTTACATGCATAGTGCATGGGTTTTGGATGAAAAAAAAAAACACGATTTATTTATGTAGAAAGTATTAAATATGTATTTCGTCTTCGGACAAAAAAGAAATCACTGGATACCACGTGAAACAATTTTTGGCGGAAAAATAATTTGTTTGGATTGTCTTGAATTTCACTTCTGATTGGTAGGCCTGATTTTCAGACTTTCCAGATGGATATAAAATTTGTCAAGCACATCCTGAGTACATGTGGTATGGCTGGCAATGGAAATTCTCATTAGGGCCTTGCAACACCATAGCCACACACAAGTAATGAAAAATAAAGAAATCCACTGGATGGAGATGCCAACATTCTGAATACACAGGCACTCCCACCCAACACGAGACCACGATGCATCCAATAGCAATGCCACAGCTATTGGCATTGCATCAACTCAAAAGTGGGTATCTCTACAGAAATAATTATAGCATGGTTATTGCCTGCATTGGCAGTGAAATGAATTCTAAGAAAAAAACAAGTATTCCTGAATGGGTATTGCTATCTATTTCAATGAGGCAATAACAATTCTCAGATAGAATGAAGAACATTACAATTGTAATCAGAAAGAGGAGATTGTGATGGTTAGGGCACATGTGCAGGGTGGAAGAAGGAAGGCAGGTTATCAAGACAAGAACTGGAGTGGCATCCAGAAGTCAGTGACCAATGGGAATACCTGAACCTAGATTCTGGGATACTCTAAGATTGGGCCATAGAGGTCGCGTTCTCAGCAGTACAACAGTTGTGGGTTTTGGGAGAAGGAACGGAGCAGTGGCATCGAAGGCCATGGCCACGATGACCTCTCGATCTTCAAGGCCACAGTCTGTCCAATCAGAAGTTTCTCCCTTTGGAAACGAGCGTTGCGTGGTTTTCATCTCGATTTAGTTACACCAAATCCATGTTTATTTTTGATAACGAAAATATTTGTCAACAAAGTGTTTTTCATTTTAATAATTCACGACTGAGTGGATGAAAATGATCAAGTGTGACGATGACTACACCCACCAAATACCAAAGGTGACTGCCCATGACCCGACAGAATTAACGAGTCTGCCTGATGAACACGCAGACCGAGATAATGCACATACTGAGGACGACCAAAACTGATCATTGGATTTATAAGGATATATACCGATTTACCGAGTTCACCGATTGGCTGACCTGTTAATATTGGAAGGGGGGGGGGGTGGCGGATTGCATGCCCCTCACACCAACATTGATTAACTAACAGTGGACAGCTTCGACTGCTTTAGGGGACTTGAATAACGACTCAAGTAAACAAAAATCCGACTAAATTAACACCGCCCTGAGCCATTGGCAAAAAGCTGTCCATTTCCATGACAGGGGCCAATATCTTGAAAGAAACAAGCATTGTTGACCGCACACACATTACACCAGCGCTAGTTTGTCAGCTGCAGGAGGGATGTGGAGCCACGTTGATCCCCAGCTACAATTTGAACTCATTACCTTCCAATTGTGATTTGTGATGTTCTAATAACCCATTGCCACCGGACAAATTACGTACGCACAATTATTTGCAAATACAATCACGCGTGATGCTCTACAGTTATGTGATTGCAGTGGTTCTTAACCTTTACTGCACCCTTGCACCCCTTTGGTTCTCAATCGTACATTTTTATGTAAAAAAAATGCATAGGTTTCATGAAACAAAGTAGTTGTACTTACGTGCCCATGCTTAATTTGTGTTTGATTATTTACATTCAAAAAAAAAATCTGGCCATGTCTCGCATCCCCAGAAAGGGCATCTTGCACCCCCAGGGGGTGGGTGCACCCCAGGTGAAAAGGCACTGGATTAATGTAAGTTACTTCATAGTCTCAAAGGTTTTTTACATCACAACGATTTCAATCAGCAGATTGTGCACAGCCCCACTCCCTGCACCCATGCACTTTCAAACACATTGAAAAGACTTTGTTGAAGAACAAAATTACAGAGCACCAATGGAGACAGCCGACTGAAGGCGCTATTTGCAGCAGACGTGACTGGGGGGCAAGGACAACAGCTGAGAGTGAAAATTACAAATATGCAAATGTGGACGAAGGTGCAGCTGGCACACCCGGATAACGCCGAGGGTTAAAGCCATGGCCACGGAGAGGCTTACTCGGAAAGATTTATTGGAAGTGAACTAACGGATATACGATTTAAAATCAGGCAGCAAAGTAGGGCTTATAGCTGGTAAATATGCGCAAAGCAAAAGTCACATACAACAAGTTGGATTAACAATGGGATGCATCGGTTAGGAGGCAAAGAACTGGTGAAATCTAGAGAATATGTATACCACTGAGTCACTGAGATCAAAATTATGAAATAGATGCAGGTGAGAGCAGGTTGGAGCACTTTGGAATGCCAAACTTGATAACAAGAAGCATGAAGGAAGATGTGTTTTTTTAATCAGTGTATATTACCTGCAATGATACACAGTTCAGAAATATATAAGACACTGACCAAGAACTTGGAGCAAAGCAGAAAATTGCGTGCACAGAATGGAGAGATGTGTGCTCGTAATTACGTGCTGGCTCGGGCAGTACCCTGCCGTGAACAACGTGCACACCGCACAGTGGGTGTACACCCAGCCAACCACCACCAAAGAATCTCAGGCAAGCAACGCTTTCCCGCAAGTAAGCATCGAGATCACGATGACAGGTTATTCACGTCGAACAAAAGTGCGTGTGTTGGTGACAACGCTGCCAAAGAACACTTACACCGCAATTAAGATTGGAAGAGTTCACTGAAGTCATGCACACTTAAATAATAAAAAATCCCCCGTCGTGTCATTTTTCGCATTACCTTTAATTATGCCAAAATTTTCCACGTGCAGTACACTCCTAGCTGTCCTTTTGTAGCAAATTCCAAATGGCAACATGACCTGGCCAGAATGAAGCCTCGTCTTAAAAGATTACGATGAACCTCATTTAAATTGCACCGCTACCTTTAGGCCAAGTCAACTTAGAGAAGGCTCAGTTTAGATACAGATGCCAATTAGCCATGCCCATAATGTGCATGGTCAGGAATCAAACACAGGTTGCTGAAATAATAGTGCGGTGTGCTTCCCAAAATAGCATCACTCCACCATACACATCTGTCATTCACCACTTGGTAGCAGGAGCATCAACACAGTGCATGTGCAATGCTCAGTGCACTTTATGAAAATATGCAATGGTAAACACTGGTCGGCAGGAGTTTATGGGAAACGCTCTAAAAAAGTGTGGTTTGCACCACCTGTGCTCCCCATTCGCTGTGCTTCAGCCGTACGATCCTCTCTGCTCGTTGTGTCATTCCTTTGCCTCCTGCTGGTAATAAAAGAGCAACCGCCCCCAGCAGTGAGGGAGCTTTTTCCATGAGCCTCCTTCCATTAAAAGGAGCCTCGTGAAGGGGATACACATACACGTGTAATGTAGCACTCAGAGACGGTCTTGTCCAGGTATGTATATTTATTGTCTATTCCGGTCCGCCAGGCTCGATGGCATGCTAGCGGGCGGACGCGAGTTGAGTATGTACAGTGGGTAACTTTCTGTAACTGCGACACGGCGTCACCTACATAGCTGGCTGACTATATAGGAGCCGGCCAAGTAACAGCTACGGCGACGATATATATAATCTTCTTTAGTCTTTCTAGACAATAAGGCGACCCGCTCCCAGACGGTGAGGACGATCCACTTCCTGATGACGACATCGACGATGGTCCAACTTCGGATCCCCGCAGCAGCCCTGAGCCCTGCTCCGCGCCGCCTTTTATCCCCCCTCCGACTCAGCCACGCCCCTTTCCCCCCCGATCTCTTTCTCACCTCATTTGGCCCTGTCTCTTCAATTATTAATTACGGCCACTAGGCCCCATACTGTCCTTACACACACACACACACAAATATCCACCAAGAAAAGTGAATAATATCCATTGCAAATGTTTTTCTATGGCTTCAATAAGAGGTCATGAACTGCTTAGGAGCCTTCACAATTTCCAGAGAACGTCACAACATATGTGTCCCGCCGCACATTACTGGGATATGCACCCCAATAAGGTCAGCCGCTATTTTAAAGCATTCTATTGCTCCGAAGGCCCATTACAAAACTCTACATGCCGGGCTGCGCCAGTACCATCATCCTTCATTT